TGGTCGCTGTTGTGTTGGTATGGGGATGCCTAGTGATTGTGTGTGTCTGGTCGTGTTGTGTTGGTAGTGATGCTAGTGTTTTGTGTGTGTGTCTGGTCGCTGTTATGTTGGTATGTGATGCCTAGTGATTGTGTGTGTGTCTGGTCGTTGTTGTGTTGGTATGTGATGCCTAGGGATTGTGTGTGTGTCGGGTCGCTGGTATGTTGGTATGTGATGCATAGTGATTGTGTGTGTGTCTGGTCGCTGTTGTGTTGGAATGTGATGCCTAGTGATTGTGTGTGTGTCGGTCGCTGTTGTGTTTGGTATGTGATGCCTAGTGATTATGTGTGTTTTCTGGTCGCTGTTGTGTTGGTATGTGATGCCTAGTGATTGTGTGTGTGTCTGGTCGCTTTTTAGTTGGTATGTGAGGGCCTAGTGATCTTTGTGTGTGTCTGTCGTTGTTGTGTTGGTATGTGATGCCTAGTGATTGTGTGTGTGTCTGGTCGCTGTTATGTTGGTATGTGATGCCTAGTGATTGTGTGTGTGTCTGGTCGCTGTTTATTGGTATGTGTTCCCTAGTGATTGTGTGTTGTTGGTCGCTGTTGTGATGGTATGTGATGCCTAATGATTGTGTGTGTGTCTGGTCGTGTTATGTTGGTATGTGATGCCTAGTGATTGTGTGTGTGTCTGGTCGTGTTATGTTGGTATGTGATGCCTAGTAATTGTGAGTGTGCCTGGTCGCTGTTTATTTTGGGGTATTGTTGCCTAGTGATTGTGTGTGTCTGGTCGCTGTTGTGTTGGTTGTGATGCCTAGTGATTTTTTTGTGTCTGGTCGCTGTTGTGTTGATATGCGATGCTAGTGTTGTGTGTGGTGTTGGTCGCTGTTATGTTGGTATGTGATCCCTTTAGTGATTATGTGTGTGTCTGGTCGCTGTTATGTTGGTATGTGATTCCTAGTAAATGTGTGTGTGTACTGGTCGCTGTTATGTTGGTATGTGATGCCTAGTGATTGTGTGTGTGTCTGGTCGCTGTTGTGTTGGTATGTGATGCCTAGTGATTGCGTGTGTGTTTGGTCGCTGTTGTGTTGGTATGTGATGCCTAGTGATTGTGTGTGTGTCTGGTCGCTGTTGTGTTGGTATGTGATGCCTAGTGATTGTGTACTCACCTAGTTGAGGTTGCAGGGGTCGAGTCCTAGCTCCTGGCCCCGCCTCTTCACTGGTCGCTACTAGGTCACTCTCCCTGAACCGTGAGCTTTATCATACCTCTGCTTAAAGTTACTATGTATGGCTCCTGCCTCCACTACATCGCTTCCCAAACTATTCCACTTCCTGACTGCTCTGTGGCTGAAGAAATACTTCCTAACATCCCCGTGATTCATCTGTGTCTTCAACTTCCAACTGTGTCCCCTTGTTGCTGTGTCCAATCTCTGGCACATCCTGTCTTTGTCCACCTTGTCGTTCCTCTCGTTTTTGTATGTCGTTATCATGTCCCCGCCTATCTCTCCTGTCCTCCAGTGTCGTCATGTCGATTTTCCTTAACCTCTCCTCGTAGGACATACCCCTTAGCTCTGGGACTAGTGTTGTTGCAAACCTTTGCACTTTCTCTAGTTTCTTTACGTGTTTGGCTAGGTATGGGTTCCAAACTGGTGCCGCATACTCCAATATGGGCTTAACGTACACGGTGTACAGGGTCCTGAACGATTCCTTATTTAAGATGTCGGAATGCTGTTCTGAGGTTTGCTAGGCGCCCATATGTTGCAGCAGTTATTTGGTTGATGTGCGCGTCAGGAGATGTGCCTGGTGTTATACTCACCCCAAGATCTCTTTCCTTGAGTGAGGTTTGTAGTCTCTGACCCCCTAGACTGTACTCCGTCTGCGGTCTGTGTGTACTCACCTAATTGTACTCACCTAATTGTGGCTGCAGGGGTCGAGACTCAGCTCCTGGCCCCGCCTCTTCACTGATCGCTACTAGGTCCTCTCCCTCTCTGCTTCCTGAGCTTTGTCATACCTCTTCTTAAAACTATGTATGGTTTCTGCCTCCACTACTTCACTTGCTAGGCTATTCCACTTCCTGACGACTTTATGACTGAAGAAATACTTCCTAACGTCCCTGTGACTCGCCTGAGTCTTCAGCTTCCAATTGTGACTCCTTGTTTCTGTGTCCCCTCTCTGGAACATCCTGTCTCTGTCCACCCTGTCTGTTCCCCGCAGTATCTTGTATGTCGTTATCATGTCTCCCCTGATCCTTCTGTCCTCCAGTGTCGTCAGTCCGATTTCCTCAACCTTTCCTCGTACGACATTCCCCTGAGCTCGGGAACTAGCCTTGTTGCAAACCTTTGTACTTTCTCTAACTTCTTGACGTGCTTGACCAGGTGTGGGTTCCAGACTGGTGCTGCATACGTGCGTGTGTACCTACCTGTGTGTGTGGTGTGTGTGTGTGTGTGTGTGTGTTGTGTGTGTGTGTGTGTGTGTGTGTGTGTGTGTGTGTGTATGTGTGTGGTGTGTGTACTCACCTATTTGTACTCACCTATTTGTCGTTGCAGGGGTCGATCCTTAGCTCCTGGCCCGCCTCTTCACCGGTTGCTGCTGGGCCCTCTCTCTCCCTGCTCCATGAGCTTTATCAAACCTCGTCTTAAAACTGTGTATGGTTCCTGCCTCCACTACGTCATTTTCTAGGCTATTCCACTGCCTGACAACTCTACGACTGAACAAATACTTCCTAATATCTCTCTGACCCGTTTGTGTCTTCAACTTCCAATTGTGGCCTCTTGTTTCTGTGTCCCCTCCCTGGAACATGTGTGTGTGTGTGTGTACTCACCTATTTGTACTTACCTATTTGTGGTTGCAGGGGTCGATTCATAGCTCCTGGCCCCGCCTCTTCATTGATTGCTACTAGGTCCTCCCTCTCCCTGCTCCATGAGCTTTATCATACCTCGCCTTAAAACTATGTATGGTTCCCGCCTCCACTACTTCACTTTCTAGGCTATTCCACGGCTTGACTACTCTATGACTGAAGAAATACTTCCTAACATCCCTTTGAGTGTGTGAGTGTGTGTGTGTGTGTGTGTACTCACCTAGTTGTACTCACCTAGTTGAGGTTGCAGGGGTCGAGTCCAAGCTCCTGGCCCCGCCTCTTCACTGGTCGCTACTAGGTCACTCTCCCTGAACCATGAGCTTTATCGTACCTCTGCTTAAAGCTATGTATGGATCCTGACTTCACTACATCGCTTCCCAAACTATTCCACTTCCTGACTACTCTGTGGCTGAAGAAATACTTCCTAACATCCCTTTGATTCATTTTGTGTCTTCAACTTCCAACTGTGTCCCCTTTTTTACTGTGTCCAGTCTCTGGAACATCCTGTCTTTGTCCACCTTGTCAATTCCTCTCAGTATTTTGTAAGTCGTTATCATGTCCCCCCTATTTTCTCCTGTACTCCAGTGTCGTCAGGTTTGATTTCCTTAAACCTCTCCTCATAGGACATACCTCTTAGCTCTGGGACTAGTTTGTTGCAAACCTTTGCACTTTCTTTGTTTCTTTACATGCTTGGCTAGGTGTGGGTTCCAAACTGGTGCCGCATACTCCAATATGGGCCTAACGTACACGGTGTACAGGGTCCTGAACGATTCCTTATTAAGATGTCGGAAATGCTGTTTTTGGGTTTGCCAAGGGGCCCATATGCTGCAGCAGTTATTTGGTTGATGTGCGCTTCAGGAGATGTGCTTGGTGTTATACTCACCCCAAGATCTTTTTCCTTGAGTGATGTTTGTAGTCTCTGACCCCCTAGACTGTACTCCATCTGCGGTCTTCTTTGCCCTTCCCCAATCCTCATGACTTTGCACTTGGTGGGATTGAACTCCAGGAGCCAGTTGCTGGACCAGGTCTGCAGCCTGTCCAGATCCCTTTGTATTTCTGCCTGGTCTTCGATCGAATGAACTCTTCTCATCAACTTCACGTCATCTGCAAACAGTGACACCTCGGAGTTTATTCCTTCCGTCATGTCGTTCACAAATACCAGAAACAGCACTGGTCCTAGGACTGACCCATGTGGGACCCCGCTGGTCACAGGTGCCCACTCTGACACCTCTCCTCGTACCATTACTCGCTGCTGTTTCCTGACAAGTATTCCCTGATCCATTGCAGTGCCTTCCTGTATTCCTGCTTGGTCCTCCAGTTTTTGCACTAATCTCTTGTGTGGTACTGTGTCAAGCGCCTTCTTGCAGTCTAAGAAAATGCAATCCACCACACCTTCTCTCTCTTGTCTTACTGCTGTCACCATGTCATAGAACTCCAGTAGGTTTGTGACACAGGATTTCCCGTCTCTGAAACCATGTTGTCTGCTGGTGATGAGATCATTCCTTTCTAGATGTTCCACCATTCTTCTCCTGACAATTTTTTCCATGATTTTGCATGCTATAACATGTCAGTGACACTGGTCTGTAGTTTAGTGCTTCATGTCTGTCTCCTTTTTTAAAGATTGGTACCACATTTGCTGTCTTCCATGCCTCAGGCAATCTCCCTGTTTCGATAGATGTATTGAATATTGTTGTTAGGGGTACACATAGCGCCTCTGCTCCCTCTCTCAGGACCCATGGAGAGATGTTATCTGGCCCCATTGCCTTTGTGTGTGTGTGTGTGTGTGTGTGTGAGGAGGTTTACAGATGTCTGTTATGGTAGGCAGACACCATGGTTGAGTGTTGTGGGGGGGGGGTAACGTGGGAGTTTTCCCTGAACGTCACCCCACACGTGGTGGGGAAGTGTGGGGTGCGTCCTCATACCTGGTATGGAAGTGTCGGATTGTGAGGGATGGGGAGGTGTCTTTTAAACTTTCCCACACCTGGTGGGGAAGAGGAGGCGTACCTGTGGGTGAATGCTGAAGAAACGATGCTCGAACCTCAGGTGAGTGTATCAGGTGTGTGTGAGGTGCGTGTCTTAGGTGAGTGTCTCAGGTAAATGTGTGAGGTGGGTGTCCTAGGTGAGTTTGAGTATTGCTTCAGGTGATGCGGAACACACTCTCTTCTCAGGGTCTTCACCTGGTCGGTGTCCCGGGGGCCCTCACTCTTCAGACCCAGCATTGAAGAATGGCGCCTCGGTGCCGTGGAAGGCACCAGGGGGTGGACAAGCCTCCACCAGCCATCGCTACGGAGGCTTCCCGTCACCCCAAGGGCCGGAGTCTCCTGAAACAGCAGCGGCAGCAGACAGCAGCAGTGTAACGCCGCTGGTGACCGGCCTCTCAGGTAGCAGCGGCAAGCGCATCTCTCGGGAGAACGTGGTGAGGTGCGTCCTGCCCCCTAGGGCCCTTGTGATGCCCTCCAGGGCCACTGTGGTGCGCCCTAGGACCACTGTGGTGTCCCTAGGGCAGTGGTTCCCAAACTGGGGGTAAATTACCCCCTGGGGGTAATTTAACCATTTTTGGGGGGTAATGGAGGGGTGACAGAAAAAAAGTTATGAATTCTGAAAATCAAGAAAACAATGCGGTACCCGGTATGAGAATTATTGTTAACTTTGTCTTAGTATATAAAGTTGTAAAGTAAACCTATTATAAGTAAGTAATAAAGTTAAACCAAATAACAATAAACATCAAAAACTAATATACAGTATTAGAAAAGAAGAAATATATAGCTAAGTGTGTGGAAACCCAAAAGTATTTTGACAAGTATGCTTCAGGACAGAAGTCACTCAGTAGCCCAGATCGACCTGTCCAGTACGCGTCACTCACTTCCTGAGGCTGCCTCTATTTCACACTGTCAGTTTTTTCTGTGAGCATCAGCCGAGGTAGACATAAGCTGGTATGAAGCCAAGAATTCCTAAACTAGTTTCAAGTATGCAACTCCATCCATCCCACTGATGTTCTTGACATCTTTGGTAATAGTCATTAGAGATGCACAATGTTCAAATACAATAAATAAAAGAAAATATCTCAAGTGTTTTAATTTAGCCATATATATCAATAATAACAGCATTTTGTGAAAGGGGTAACATGCTTTATGTGGCATGTTAAATTGGGTAACAAGCTGAAAAAGTGGGAACCACTGCCCTAGGGGCTAATATCCCCAATGGGGACAATACCAGTCTCCCCAGCCACTCCATGGATCACACTCACCTAATGGAGACGCCAGTGTGACTCCTTCCTTACCTGTCTCCTTACTTCCTGTCTGCTGCCAGCTAGACCAGTAGTCAGAAGCAGTTAGCAGAGATGTCTGGTAGTGAACGGTAGCTGTGGTTGTTGCTCCCCTGCATGCTATGGCGTGTGTGGGCGCGGCGGTCACCCCTGCTCCACTCCCACCCTACACGCCCATCTCCGCCGGTGCACCTGCGAGGGGGCCCATGGCGGCCCACCCGGCTGGTAGGGGCGTCCCACGTACACGTCCCTGCTGCATGACCACCCACATCCTACCCCAAACACCAGCATCCCGCACCACCACTCCCTCTCTCCCACAGTAACCAGCATGCTGCTGCATCAAGGTTTGTTTTGCTTTAATGCCATCACTGCTACCACTAAAACACTTGTACACCCATGTGTATCTCACTCACACCTGTATAACTTTAGCACTCATGTGTACCACTCACAATCATGTGTACCACTCACACTCATGTGTACTACTCACAGTCAAATGTACCACTCACACTCAAGTGTACCACTCACATACATATGTACATCATACATCTGTGTACGAAACACCTGTGTATTTTTCGTACCCATATGAACCTCTCATAATCATATGCACCACTCTCATCCATGTGCACCACTCACATGTGTACCCCTCACAGGTATGACAAACTGTGTGTGTGTGTGTGTGTGTGTGTGTGTGTCCTTGTATATTCTTGCAATGTTCCGTCAAGGCTGCAGTACAGCCAGAAGACACAGGTACCTAGCTTCTCCTGCACCTGGCCACCCTGAGACTGGAGCAGTACATTTTCACACCCCTGTAATTCATTTTTGTGCTCTCGTGAAATGCTTCCCGCCTCTCCGTCTTTTCTCACTCTTCTCTTTCAAGTTCTCCAATTATCCTCTACGTCGTGATCATATTTCCCCAGAATTTAATGTATGTGTTTGTGTGTGTCTTCTTACACAGGAAAAACAAGAACAGATGGACAGATGTTGTTGTATTTGTTACAAATAATACAGTATCTTTGTTGTAGTATGTTTGTAATGCAGTGTATCTGTTACAGGATATTGTAACATGTTTGTTACACGATGAGAGTGTATTTGCTACAAGATACCACAGTGTATTTGTTACAGGATAACAGTGCATTTGTTACAGGATACTGCAGTGTATTTGTTACAGGACAGCACAGTGAATATATCAAAGGAAAGCAAAATATATGTCACAAGATAACACACAATATTTTGTTACAAGATAACAGTGTGATGGAGTGTAGAGCCATGATCTTTCTCTACATCTCCTGCTATATGTCTCTTAACATCCCATCTACTAATCTACACCTGATCTGATATGTGTAAAATTTTTATTATCACACACACAACACACACACACACCACACACACACACATATATATATATATATATATATTTTATATATATATATTATAATATTTTATATATATTATATATATAATATATATTTATATAAAATAATAATATGCAAAAAAACCCACTGTGAAAGAATAGAGAAATTCCAAGCGAAATTCGTGACTAATACATTTTCAAGGAACAATGTTCCTTGATAATGTGAGTAGTCACGAAAGCGCTTGGAATTTCTCTATTCTTTCACAGTGGTTGTTTTGCATATCTGAAATCACCTGTTTACTCTGATCTTTTTGCATATATTTATATATATATATATATTATATATTTATATATATATATATATATATTATATATATATAAAATTTTTAATATATGAAAGAGGGGAAGGTACCTGGGGATTGGCGGAGAGCATGTATAGTCCCTTTATATAAAGGGAAAGGGGACAAAGAGATTTTTAAAAATTATAGAGGAATAAGTTTACTGAGTATACGGGAAAAGTATACGGTTTAGAGTTATTATTGAAAGAATTAGAGGTAAGGGCAGAATGTGAATTGCGGATGAGCAGGGAGGTTTCAGAGTGGGTAAGGGATGTGTAGATCAAGTGTTTACATTGAAGCATATATGTGAACATATTTAGATAAAGGTAGGGAAGTTTTATTGCATTTATGGATTTAGAAAAGGCATATGGTAGAGTGGTATAGAGGGCAATGTGGCAGAAAGTTTCAAGTTTATGGAATAGGTGGTAAGTTACTAAATGCTGTAAAGAGCTTTTATGAGGATAGTGAGGCTCAGGTTAGGGTGTGTAGAAGAGAGGGAGACTACTTCGGTAAAAGTAGGTCTTAGACAGGGATGTGTTAATGTCACCATGGTTTTTTTAATATATTTATAGATGGGGTTTAAAAGAAGTAAATGCTAGGGTGTTCGGGGGAGGGGTAAGATTAAATTATGGGGAATCAAATTCAAAATGGGAATTGACACAGTACTTTTTGCTGATGATACTGTGCTTATGGGAGATTCTAAAGAAAAATTGCAAAGGTTAGTGGAAAGAGTTTGAGAATGTGTGTAAAGGTGAAAGTTGAAAGTGACATAGAACAGAGTTAAGGTGATGGGGTTATCAAATGTTTAGATAAAGAAAAATGGATTCAATTGGGGGGAGTATGGAAAAGTGAATGTTTTCAGATACTGGAGTTGACGTGTCGGCGGATGGATTAGAAGGATGAGGTTAATCATAGAATTATGAGGGAAAAAAGGTGGTGGTGCGTTGAGGTATTTTGTGGATCATAAAAGTTATCTTTGAGGCAAAGAGGAATGTATGAAAGTATAGTAGTACCACACTCTTATAGGAATGTGAAGCTTGGTGTAAATGCAGCAGCGAGGAGCGGTTGGAGGCAGTGAGATGTCCTGTTAAGGGCATTGTGTGGTTTTAATTTAAGCAGAAAATTGGTGTGGAAATTAGGAGAAGGTGTGGAGTTATATCAAAGCATTAGTCAGAGGGCAGAAGAGGGTTGTTTGAGGGGGTTTGGTCATTTAGAGGAATGTCAAATTTTAGAATGACAGGGAAAGCATTAAATAATTTTGGGGAAGGAAAAAAGGGGTTAGGGTCGTCCTCGAAAGGGTGGAAGAGGGGTTAAAGAGGTTGTGGGCAGGGGCATGGACAAGCAGGGGTGCAATGGGGCGTGGTTAGATAGGTGGTATGGAGACGAATGTATTGGACCTGACGATCTGTGGGTGTGAGCAGGTAATTTTTAGTGAAGGTTCAGGGAAACCGTTATTTTCATAAGTCGGACTGGTCCTGGAAAGGAATACAATGCCTGCACTTAAGGAGGGGTTTGGGATATTGGCAGTTTGGAGGCATATGTTGTGTTCTTTATACGTATAGCTCTAAACGTTGTATTCTGGGCACCTCTGCAAAAGCAGTGATACTGTGTGAGTGTGGTGAAAGTTTTGAATGATGATGAAAGTATTTTCTTTTTGGGGATTTTCTTTCTTTTTGGGTCACCCTGCCTCGGTGGGAGACGACCGACTTGTTGAAAAAAAAAAAAAAAAAATATATATATAATATATATATTATATATATATATATATATATTAAATATATATATATAAATATATATAATAATTATTTACTGGTTTTTTAAAAAATTTCTGACCAAATACAATGTGGGGGGTTAAGTGTGTGGTTGGTTTGGTGTGGTAGATGAGTGTAGGGTGGGTTGGTGGTTGTATCCATTAAATACAGTAGCAGCAGTAATGTTGTTGAACGTATGGTGTGAGTATAGGTGTTGATCAAATTCATGGTTGCTCCAGGTTCCATGGTGTGCCGGATTCATGAGGCTGTGGGCCAGTACGTCACTCAGAGTTTTGTGTCTTGCAAACCTAGCTGTAGCAGCAGCACCAGGGATCTCTGACCTACCGCACCTGCAACACCTGGGACCTCTCAACTGCCCCTACCACAGTTGCAGCAGCAGGGACCCCTGAACCAGTCGTACCACAGTTGCAACAGCAGAAGGAACCTTTGACCACTTCTGTCACAGTTGTGCAGCAACAGTGAAACCTTTGAACCACTCCTCCCACTGTCTCATACCCAGAACCTGACCATCTGCCCACTGAGGTGTCCTTATGCTCCTGCGCCTCTGCTGCTCCTGCACTGACTACCATTGTTCCCCAGACTGCGCACTTATACCCCATCCGTCTGTATCTTCTGTCCCGTCGTTGCTGTGTTCGACACAACAACGACTTATCCTCCGTCTGCGCCTTGTGTCCCGTTGTAGTTATGGTC